TATCAATAATAATAATAATAATAAGTTACTTCATTCATATTTTATGAGAAATATTAATGGGGACATATAAGTCTCATATACATAATATCAAATAAGGGTTCTTTTATCATGTTTATTAATTAATTTAATCTCTTATTTATTAGCAAAATAAAATGTAAATAAAAAATATTCCATTCAAAAGCTTTGTCAAAAATATCTAAATAATAATAAATTTAAATAAATATATCAATTATTATCTTTAATTCTAGTAAGAACTGAGGGGTTCATAGATTTTTTGGAAATTATTACTGGATACTTTAATTCCAATAAAATTTTTAATTCTCTGAAACACTTTTTAGATAATTCTTTTCTCAGGAATATACTCTAATACTCCATATGATTCATTATATCTTAATATTAAGAAATCATTCAAATTAATTATTCAAAAGTATCTTGATGTTTTGAATTTAAAAAATTTAGATAAAAATTATATATTAATCATTATAGATAGAATAGATAATTAATAAAAATAAAATTTCTAACTTAAAAAATTTGTTAAGTAAAGCAGGAACAAAATCAAATTAGCATATTTAGTCCTTTTATAGAGATAATAAAAAGATTCTTTAGTCATATTTTTTTATTATTGTAATAATTATTGTTAAATAAAAACAAAATAAAATTTAGAAGAAATAACTAATAAAAATGAAAGTTTAATATAACTAATTAATGAAATAAAAAGCAGTTAAGAAAATAAATACAATATATAAATTAGTAAGAAAACAAATCAAAATGAATGTAAATTTATAATAGTATTTTTGGAAGAAGAAATATCACATAATATCAATTGAAAATTTAAAGGGTTCTGATACTCAAGTTTTGTAATTGAAATATAAAAATAATGGTAAGGTTGAAGGGAAATAAATAATTTAAATAAAAGAAAATAATCAATCTTTCTTTGCAAGAACGACTAAATACAATTTAGATTTCACTATAAATATATCTAATATATCAAAATTAGTGAGATATTTAAAACAATTATTTAAACAATATACAAAAAGTAAAACATTAATAAACTAATATCCTAATTTATTTAGTGATACTTAACTTGAGTATCCAACTATTTTTACTTTTCTACAATACAGTGAAGATAATTTATTAATCTAAAGACTTCAATCCGCCTCAGTTCTACTAGAATATTAATTTTTAAAGGTGATAGAGTTAATATATATAGTTAATTGAAAATTCTATTGGCTAAAATGTTGTAAATAATTTAAGAGATTATTTATCCAACTCTAAATCAGCACAACCTTCCATATTAAAATTAATTATTTAAAATAGTGATAGATTGCATCAGTATGCTATTGCACAACTAAAGTATCTAATGACGCTAAATTTGATTATAATAATGCTTTCATAAATATTGTTAATTATAAAAGAAATAGTTTAAAAAAAATAGCGTTTTAATATATAATAACTAAACTTTATCAAACTTATATCATAAAAATATTCTATAATTAAAATAATATTAACAAAAATAAAAATATAACTGTAAAATATTTAAAATTATACTTTATTATAATCACTTATTGTTATTGTTATCAACTATCTAAAATATGTTGCTACCATCTACATAAATTGGGTTCATCTTCTTTCTATTTTTCAAATAATATGATCTAACTTTACAAAAAAGCTAATATCCACATCTCACTAAGGGAGATGCTAAAGCTAATACCAAAAAACTAATTTAAACAAATCCATACAATATTTATTAATCTAATAATAAATAATTTTAAAAATCAGAGCAATATATCATACAAGATAATGTAAAGACCATTACTGGTGCTTCCGTCCAAATAATGATGAATAAGTCAAGTTTATTTTTTGTAAAATCAATATTAATTATTTATCCAAGATACCAAAATAATATACATGTAAGTAAAATACATTATATAAGAGGGCAACTTTACATTACAATAAGCACTAATAAAAATACGAGTTTTTTAATTAAAATAATATCATCGTGCTATTTATTTCTTAAATCCCTCAATATAATTTTATGATTATTTCTTCTGCAATTTTAACTTATGATAATGATTAAGGATACTAAGTATCCAATAGAAAGAATAGAAGAAATTATTTCTCTTATTCCTTGCTTAAAATTAGAAGTTAAATACAATAAAACTTTAAATATTAGATCCCAACTATTTGCATAGAACAATTGAAGTAAGCCTTCCTTATTAAATATATCAATTAATTTACAAATACTTTTATTGAGTAAATAAAATTTAATCCCAATTCTTTCAATAAATTAATTATTCATTAGTTTAATATAATAGATAAATTTAGAGCCAAAACAATTAGTGTAGACAAATTTTGTATAGTATTTTATAAATATGTACAATGCAATCAGGAATCCAATTTAAGTAAATTAACCATAGATGTTAACTAATAAATCAGCGTTTAATTGATATTCAGAAAGTTTTCCAATACTCTCAACATATTGATCACCTATTAATTAGTAAAAAAAATCAGTAATTTTTAATTTAATCAATACTGGATTAATAGTTACAATTTCTGATGATTCAAAATATATTAAAACATTCAATGGAAAATCCACATTTATGTATTTCAGATATGATTGAAGTTATAAAATATCAAAAATTTCCATACATTATCTAGGATTTCCAATTAATAAAAGTAAGAAACTACTACTAGCTAATCCTATCATCATCCAATTACCCAGAGCTTAAAATTTATTGGCCGTTTGTAATTAATTCTAGTTTAAGACTTTGGGGAGTTATAATTTGATAGTTTAGAGAGTAGTATTTACTTTTTTTTTATATGAGTCTTCTAAAGTAGCATTAATTTCTACAGCTAAATAAAGTTGAGTTGAAATAGGTTCAAAAATTTGAATTTAAAAGATATAAATAACATCAAGTAAAATAGTTTAATCAATTTCAATTACAGGTATTATAGTAATAATTTATATATCTTATTGAATAGATGAAATAGATGGATGAATTGAATTAGTAAAATTCAAAATAGTGTCATTTAATTTAACTTTATTAGAAAATGATAATTAAACGTATTAAATTGATTAAGTCTAATTAAGATATTACAATTTAAAAACAGTATTATATGAGCAAAAACTTGATTTTCTAGGAAAATTATTACAAAACCAGTTTGGTTCAATTAGACATAAACTAGAACAACCATCTCCATCAAGTTCATTACCATCATCACAATCTTCATTATCAGTATAAATAGCATCTCCACATTTATTTGACACTTCTTATTCATCTTCATCAAAAATATGAGTGTAATTATCAACTTCACAATAATCTTTTATAATTGTATATCCTTTAATGCACTCTAAACATATTCCAAAAGTACAAGTTTAACATCCTTCTTCACACTAAAATTAACAATTAAAACAACCATCATAAGGAATATCATTTCCATCTTCACATTCTTCTAATCCAATAACAATATGTTCATCTCCACATATTGGTCTACATGAATTATTATATAATTCGTAGTACTATTCACAAATATAACATGTATTTTTATCTATACAAGCGTTGCAATATGGAATACATTGATATTTGCATTCGAAACATCCATCTCCATTATCATAATTTCCATCATCACATTGTTCCATTGAAGTTACAGCTATTTAACCATCTCCACAATATTGATAACAACCATAATCAATAAGCTTCCATCCATCAAAACACTAATAACATTTATTTTCAACACAATTTAAACATTCCAATTAGCAACTATATTAGCATTTATAACATCCATCAAACTATATATTGTTTTAATCATCACACTATTCTTATTATTATTCTATTACGATTCCATCATTACAAATAGTAGTACATCTCAATCTATTTTTTTCTAATTAATAATTTTCTTCACATTATAGACATATATTAATAAAACTCATTTTACAATGTTGTATTTCTGGTATTCTGCATTAATTATAAAAATATCCAAAAATTCCAAAATCTTTTAGATTACATGTTAAACTACTGGCTAAAGTATATTTAGAATTTTCATTATTAAATAGATTATGCTAGTAATAACCATTCTCAATCAAATTATTAATTCTATTCTAACAATTTCTATTTTCTTAATCTTCCTAATTCTCATAACCATCACAAATATATTAACATTTATCATTTATCAATTCGTATTTAAATGAACATTATATGCATTTACCAAATTAACATTCACTACAATTCAAAGGACAAGAATATTTACATTAATAACATCCATCATATTGATATGTGTTCCCATCATCGCATTCTTCAAAATAATTAATTATTGAATCACCACATATTGGTAAACAATTCTTATTCTATTCATAATATTGCCATCCTTCTTAACATTACATACATTCACCTCTTACACAATTTGAACAACCTATAACGCAATCATAAATATTAGCAAAGCATCCATCAAATGGTTAAATATTATCATCAAAACAATTATTATCATAACAATTACCTTATGTTTTAAGAAATAATTAAAAATCTCTAATTCCCTAATAAGCATCTAAATTTGATCTATACTTATCACTAGTTTTCTATCTAATTGTTAAAGTAATCAAATTTCGGTTATGCCTATATTGATGAATATTAATCTGACTTGTGATCAAATTATAATAAAGATCGTTATTCTAAAGGGGTAGAGATACTTAATTTGATATATTTAAAACAATTACTAAAACATCATCAATTAATATTTCAAATTAATGATATAAATTTATAGTTATTATTTTAAATTAAATACTAACAGCTTCATGAGGTGTTAGATATATTGTTTTAGTTTAGGATAATTAGATTAAACTATAAATTTAAAAATCTAGAATAATTTGTAACAATACCTCCCACAGCTACACTATAATAGGAGAAATCCCCATTTTCAGATTACCATCCTTCATTTGAAAAAAAATCCAATTATCTAGTAGTAAAATATTCAATATATAATATTTAACTGAAGCATCCATTTTAGTTACAAGAATGGCAACCTTCTGGACATTTTTCGATAAATAATTAAATATCTGAAATTCCCCAAATTTATTCACCTGAAATTAATATTTAAACAGTTGGGCTATAATGATAAACATATAAGAACAACATTAAAATTATAAGAATCTCCACAAAGATATTAAGAATCTGAAGGATAATATAACTAGTTATGCTTTTCAATATTATCTATATAAACTTTAAATCGATTTCCATTCCAACAGTCTATTCTATAATTATTTCTAAATATTTAACCTCCAAAACAAAAATCTAAATCTTAATTAATAATGTGGTTGGAGCTGAAATGTTTTTTGAATGAAAGTTCGAAAGTCAAAACAATTTAAACCTCCCATAATCAGTTTTGATTAGCAATATGAATCCCAACAGTTTAGATAATAGTTAGTATGCCAATCTAATATTAAAATGTAAAATATACCATGGGTGTGGCCACTAATAAAATTTTCGTAAATAGGTGTTTCAGACTAGCAATTTATTATAAAAAGAGGTAACAATATGGTGTTTAATATGTTCATCATATATTATGAAATTTTGTACAAATTTAATAATAAATTTATGGATTTAATTTTAAGTATATATAGCAAATGGGAAATAATAAACATTATGAAAATATTTAAAGGCAGCACATAAAATGAAATTTATTATACCTAAGATTAATAATTGCTTAATTCTAAATTTATTTCTATGACTTTTAATTATCTAAAAAATAGACTTTAAAAAACAAGAATTTGTTTTTCAATAAATTAATAACCTTTTATATTAATTTTATTTAATAAAGATACGAAGCAATAATTTTTTTTTTGGATTATTCATTTTATTTAATTCTTATATTTATATAGCATGATAAATAAATGGAATCATAATATTACTTTTTTCATTAAAAATTAGCGAATCAATTAACTACATGATTATTGTGACAGTATTTATCTCTAGATCTATTGCTGATTATTTTATTAATTAATTATTAGAATATCTTCTTATTGAAATACTTATACTTTATTTATGTGTTAATAAAAAAAATTATACAATTTAATAGTAATATTCACAGGTTGATAAATGACATCAAATAAATATTTAATTTTAGATTTTCTAAATTTTTTAATAATTTACAATTTAATCTAAAATAATAGAATTTTGGATTAATTATCAAAAAAATAAGAATGAGAAATTGATAATAATATTATAATTTGAAGATTAAGAAATTTATTGATTTTATCAAATACTTCTACAAAAAGTTTAATTTATATTTTGTATTTACAGAGTGTAATAAAATATTTAGTCTATTATATAAATATACAACAAAATATTATATTTATTTAAATACAATGAATTAATGATAAATTAAACCAATTTTCTTGTTTATTTTCAAGAACATTTATATGTTGATATTGAGAGAAATGCATAATGATCACTATTTTATATTCAATATTTGATAATACTTTTCAAAATTCATTAATTTTTAATAAATATAATTTATATCTCAATAGATGATGCTTTTATGATTTATGATAAGTTTATAGCCATCAGTAAAACAAAAATATTATTTTCTTCGCATTTTAACAATTAGAATTAAATTGTGTCCATAAAATAACCCCATTTTATTATATTTTCCCCCTTATATTTCAAATACTATTATTCCAAACTATTTTAATTGAAATTTTTTAATATTATTAACAAACTGGACTAAATTAATTAATCAAATTCACCAAAAAAGCAATTAACTAATTAATTGTAAGATTCATCACTTGTCATCCAATTAATAAAATTAGAATATAAATTAGCAACTTGAAAATATAAAATCTCAGGAATCAAATCTGTTGATCAATAGTCAATTTATAGTACCCAAATTTTTACAATAATCAAAAAAATTTATATTAAATATTTATCAAGTTTTTGTGATTCTAATACATAATTTATTTAAATTTTTATGATAAATCTCTAAATATTTAAATAATTATGTTTATTTTAGATTTATTAGTAATTCTAATTCTATAATTGTTATTAATGCTTATTTATTATGATTTCAATTTATATAGTTATTTTTTTATTATTATTAATTAATAAAAGTATTCCAAGTCAAAATGAATCTAGACAAATACATGAAACCTTTTTAATAATGAAGTATAATCCAAAATATTAGATACTCAATAATTTAACTTAACTCTATATTATAAAAATATTTTATTTAAATCATGTTTTATTGCGAATAATATTTATTAAATTTCTTTAGTCCTAATTTTTAAACTAATTTCATTCAAATAATCATAAAATCAAAAGAATTTTATAGCTGTTATTTTATTCTATTTTTATATATTACACATTCTCTTTCATTCCATAAAAATTATTAATTATTGCTGAATTATTATCTATTCAATATAAAATATATAAAGTTCAAAATTTATTCAGATCAATATTTCTTGATTTTCAAACTTTATTATCTACATATAATAATAGAAAATAGTTTTTAAATTCAAACTCACTGTTAATATAATATATATATGTATAAATTTCATTATCTATTCCTTCTATCCTATTGAAAATTGATTAATGACATCATAAATAATATATAATTTTTTACATATTTCTCATAGATTTTTATTAAAAGTCTATATAATAAATCTGAAAATTAGAACTTATACAATATCTGCAAGAAATGAGATATAATATCATTTTTGTTTTCTTAATATTCAAAAAAATAATCTATTTAAGTAATTTTAACATTATTCTAGCCAATTGTTGTCCGATAGAATATTTAAGGTGTCGGGGACATAGCCCATATTGCGAAATTTGCGTTTCAGGCTTCTATTTAATTGATCCCTTTTACTATTAATGTTCAAAACCATGTGTAGATTGTGATACGTAAGTAAACATTTGTAGTACTTGAGTTGATACTCGAAATTAAACACCTCCTCAATGTAATTGTGTTGATGGATTCATAATGGATACTGCAGATTACTTTTGCATTTAATGTGAATTTCCATGTGCTACATGCTAAACAACAGTGGATCATTGCTTAACATGCAATGATGGATATTTTGATGTCAATCATATCTGCTAACAATGCTAATATCCATGCACAAAATGCGAATTATAAAATGATCATTGTCTTGAATGTTTAGATCCAAATCATGAATTAATCAGTAATAAATGTGTATGTAAATATGGATTTGGCTCTTCAGGAATTAGTAATATCAATTGTTCACTCTGTTAATATCCATGTCTTGAATGCTCAAGTAGTGTTAACACTTGTCTCTCTTGCATTGATAATAATAGATTCAAACTTAAAAATAGCAAATGTATATGTAAGTAAGGTTATTTTGAAGTAGGAATTGATTGTTTATAGTGTTCATCATAATGTTCTACTTTATCAGAATAATCTAATAAATGTTTATCATGTTCTGACCCTAATCAAGTATTATAATTAAATGATTGTTATTGTAAACCAGGTTATTATACAGATAATTATAAGAATTGTTTACAATGTTAACATCCTTGTCTAACTTGTAATTAAGATTTTTGCATATCTTGTTAAGATGGATATTATCTTATTGAAGGATAATGTAAATGTGAAGAAGGATATTATGATATTGATTTTCATTGTGAAAAATGTAATTACGATTGTAGTAAATGTATCTCATCATACGAATGTACCGAATGTATAGATTAATATTATTTTTAAAATACTTAATGTTTAAAATGTCAAATCCCATGTTTATAAAGTGTTGATATTTAAACTTGTAAAACTTGTTCTGATAATTATATCATTGATGGTCAAGGAAAATGTACAAAATGAATCTAAAATTGTGAATATTGTATTGATTCAACTAATTGTGTTAAGTGTTTTGATGAATTCTATTATCATAGTTAAGCATGTATCCCTTGTTCTGATTAATGTTAGACATGTGTAAAAGATAGTAAATTTTGTACATCTTGTAAAGATTCAAATTAAATATTAAATAAAAAGACAGGTATGTGCCATTAAATTAATAATTTTGGAGATCAGTATGATCATAATAATTTGGAATAAATACTATTACTCCAAGATATCAGATGCAATTAAAATTAATTATTAATAGGTTATGAATGTATTAATTAATGTGGAAATGGTATACTTAATGAATAATATGAATAATGTGATGATGGTAATCAACTTGGAGGAGATGGATGCTCCTTCCTTTGTATTCAAGAGGATTCCTATTAGTGCAAAAACTATGTAAATTCTCCATGTATTTGTTCATTTATTCAAGCTCCAGATTTTAGATTGAATCATCTCTCAAATTAATAAAATCAAACTTAAATTATTGAATTAAGTTTCTCTTAAAAAGTTAAAATACCTACTGATTTGAATTTTGAAGAAATTGCAATAATTTCAATTATTCCAAAAACTCGCATTAATATAAATATATTGAACATAACAAGTCCATCAACTGAATTTGAATATCCAATATAGTAAATTATAGTTGAATTTATAGACACTGTAGAAGATGCTCATCTATAGATAGAATTTGATTAATCCCTTATAAAATATGAATTTGATTTAGACTTAATTAGATATTAGATGTAAATAAAACTTGGAAATACTTTTATACTTTCATAATAAAACTAACAAAAATTGACATAAATTGTACTTCTCAACGATGCAATTATGTATTCAATGATTAGTATATCTGGATTAGCATTCCTTACTGAAAATGCTATCATGTTTTTTAATTTAATCGACCTTTTATAATCTTTATCCTATATTAGATATATGTAATATGATTTCCCACCTCATTTAATCTAATTTTTGAATACATATTCTAAAGTATCATTAAAACCAATTCTGGATCATTTGAAGATTGATGAATTATTAAAATATTTAAATGGAGGTAAGCTACCTTTCCAAAATTCAAAGAGCTCAAATTAAAATCAATTAAATCAATTAAATTAATTTTACCTATTGAATGCTTAAGGTTGTTATTTATCAATTTTAGTTTCATTAATAAAATAGTTAATTTGTAGACTATTAACATCTTAAAAAATGTTATCAATGCAAATAAAATTATTTCAGAAAAATAAATAAAATAAATTATACCTTCGTTTTATTTTATTTTTCCAAGACAAAATACAGAGCTTTTGTGCTAAATTTAGAAAATAATATATCTCTTTTGGTTTACCTAAAGTCTATTTTGCTATATTGCATCAATTATTTTTTAGTGCCTTGTTGTAATTTCCAAATTATAGCTTTAATTCTCTATTTATAACATTTAATAGCATTAATGCAAGATTTTGTTAAATTTTAATTGTATATATTAGTTTATAATTACTGTCAATGACTTAGACTAATATAAAAGATAGACTAAAATGGAAATATTTTTATTAAGATTCTTAACCTTAATTCTAGGCATTCAGTTAAAAATCCTTCTAGATTTACAGAATAATGTTTTATATATTTATGATCATTGAAGCACTTAATTACCCAGAAATATAATCAATTTTACTCTCCATGTCCTCATTTTTCTATCTATTATACTTAGTTAAATTTAGACCTCTAAAATCTAAGTATGAAGAAGCTAAACTAATATCTAGAGAGTTTTTTTTAATTCTTATTTCAGGATCATTTTTGATTTATAGTTTTCAACTAAGTTATAACTAGCAATTATATTATGGATGGATTCATATTGCACTTTTTACTCTTATGCTAATCTCTAATTTGATCATTGATTTAATAGAATGTATAAATAAAGCAATACAAAAACATAAAAAAAATAAAGAAAAATTATAATAAAAAGAAAGTAATATTAAAATCATCTTGAATAATTTATTATAATAGACACAAATAAATAATTCAAAATTTAAGAAGGTAAACCAAAAAATTGAAATAACTATCAAATAAACAATTTTTTTATTTGTAAATATGTATATTAATGAATCTTGTTTTAAAAGAACCAACTGAATCAAATTCAGGCAAAATTTCAGTCTAAATTAATTTTTCTTGTTCGTTTTTAATTTCACTTCAAAGTATTTTTATCATTAATCCTAAAATTTTATCATATAATTGCTAAATTAATTAATTCTTATTTTAGAAATATTTAGAATAAGACAATTATTATTTTATAAATTAAAACCAATATTCTTATATATAAAACCATTAATATAAATTATTCTTATTAAACTTAAACTGTTGTCAATATTTATGAGTTGCTTCCTAATTTTAATTATTGTCGAACATTTTTATACATGAGTTCCATACAAAGGTTATATTATTTGAGTTACTTATATAATTCCAAAATTAACTAATATTCTAAAATGAGACAAATATAGTGGTAAGTCTTATAATTTATTTCTAACTTTTTCTTTTTTTGCATTCTTATATTTTTAAAGAGTTGTAAATTGTTTTATTATAAAATCCTCACTCTTAAACTTATTAATATTTTTATTGTTAAATATCATGATAACTAGATCATTTAAAAAACAAAAGTTATATTACAAATAATGTGTACTACTTTATGTCTAAAAATATTAGGAATTATAATTTCATTATGAATTTTGGAATTATTTATAGAAGATATCTTTTAATTTTAATTTAAAGTTTTAGTTCAAGAAATTGATATAAATAAATAATTTAGTAATTCACATAAATAATGCTTAATTGATATTGAATTAAATATAAAAAATTATCAACTGATTTTTTAGGTAAAGTCTTATTTAGACTAAATCCATCGGAATAACTTCTAAAAATTATTTATAAATGATTATTTACTTTTAGTTAATTAATTAAAACATATCTAATCCTAATTTTAAATTATCAATCGATTATAAAAATAAAAACAGTAGAACTCTTTTTTTTGATACATTACTTAATTTATTGAAATCTACATAAAAATTATGAGATAATGAATCCTAATTTTAAAATAATTAGAATTATTTCTATAATTTTTATTAATATTATATTAAAATTAGTAAATTTAATAATACTTTAAATTAGATTTAAATAATTATTAATCATAGAATAGAGAAAAACATTTTTAAAATCATCAAAAAAAAGCCTTCTTTGAATAATTATAAAATTTATAACCTTATAAATTAATTATCTCATTATACTTAAACAATTTGCAATTTTGTTTAAGGGATAGTTATTATAATTAATGATAAAATTATAAATTTAATGGTAAATTAATACATTAATTTGAAAATTTATATTACAATATTTTGTCAAATATTTTTGAGTCTATCAAAAATATCAATTTACTTACAAAGTATATAATATTTCAAATCATAACAATAATCTCCTACTCCTACTATTTCTAATTGTAAAAAGAACAATAAGCATTATACTTATATGAAAATTTACTATTATCTACTTGACTATATCATTATTACCCACATAAAATTTAGTTTTACATTTCTTACATTAATATGATATACTAAATATGTGTCATTAGAGATAATAATTCTCATTCTAGAGTTGAATCCTTAAGATAGCTAATAACATCATGTTAACTGAAAAGTAGAATAAAATTAGGAAATATCAAATAAATAAAGAGATCATAATAAAAACTTTAAGAGTATGAACTTTAAGAAATTATCTAATATGTTTTACTAATTTTAATACCATATGTTTAGATCCCTTGAAAATAGCTATAAATATAATTATAGTAGGTGTTGTTATTGTGGATTTATAAAAATTCTATTTACTAGAATTATTAAATTAATTTATTCCTATAATCATCTATTTTATTCCTCTCCCGATATTATATTATTCTAATCCCATAGGAATAGATAATCGTAGATGTACTTATTTAATTTATAAGTCTAGCTATTCCAAAATTATATTTAAATATGTCATAGACATAACGATTTGCCTTAATATATTTTTGTGATGAGTCTACATATAATAGACCACATATTATTTGTTTAAAAATTAACAAAAAATTTTGAATTATAATATAGAATTATCATTCTATACACTAAAATAAACTAGAAATGTTTCTTTCAAATTCCTAACATAATCCATTTGAATATCGACAAATCTAAAATTTCCAATAAGTCATGTATCCTCTATATTTTTCTTGATAATAGTTATTTTGACAAAGGGGATCATTTATTATTATTTGTTGCTCCAAAAAACAATATATGATAAGGTGTTGCTCAGAACCTGTGCAAAAAGTATAGTTTTTATTTGATTGTTATGATGCATTCATCATTTTGATTGAATCAGATCTAGTATTTTTATTACACTTTTTGAATTTTACAAACCCTGATTATTAGTTTGGCAGAGTGAAAGTTATTATCCTTACATTAGTTTTAAAGGAATTACAAAAACCTTCTGCATTTTGATATTAAATGGAAGATAGATTTAAATTAACATGAAAAGGAATTAATTGCAAAAACTAATTAATTATTTTGCCCCTTTTTAGCTCTTTCAAAATACTTCCAATATACCTTAAAAGAATAAATGAAATGATATAAAATCCACTTTAACAGTTTTATTAGTTTAAGTAGAATTGTCTTAAAGTTGTAATTCAAAGTGATATTATTTACAAGTTATCAAAATATCTGTTATGCAGGATTTTTTCTGCCTAATGAATTTATTATAAATAATAAAATTAGAATTAGGAACCTTTTGAAAATTGTTATATAATTGATTAATAGAAAAACAATTGACGACTTACCACTAAGAATTGACAAAGTAAATGATCAAAAATATAATCAAAAACATAAAAATTAATTAAGAATCAATTTGCAACATTGTTACATTTCTATTATCTAACAATGTTCATATTTATAAAATATAAAAATTTTACTTTAAAAAATGCTTTTATTGATTCTCTTTCATTAACGTTAATCAAGAAAAGCCTTATGTTTGTTTTTGAGGAATTTGTAGTTGATTTTTCTCTAATTAAAATTAACTTATTAAACCTATATAAGTTCCTATAATTTATTTCTATGTGAAGTCAAATCTATAATGAGAATGAGTTAACATTATGTAAATACTAATTATTTGAATTTGTTCTTTAAAACATAAAATGATAATTTATTTAATCATTTATCATTTATGTAATAATAAATAAAGAAAATCCAACTTTATGAATAATCTAAAAAATTCCCCATATCTTTATAACTTTAACATTTAATTAAATAAGTTAATAATAAAAATTACTAATTATTATTTTTTGGATTATTTACCTTTTTTAAACATCATAAATAAAAATTACTTTTTATGTATTAATATTAATATTTTTTTATTTTATATAGGAATGATAATTGAATTAAGTTATGAAAGTAGTTGATATCATATGCTAAATTAAATGAATTAAAAAAAAGATACTTTTTGATTCAAAAGTATTGGATTACATAAATAGCAAACGGATATATGATGCAAAATAAACATTCTCCAGATCACAGGTAGATTATTACATTAAATATTAGATGTATTGAAACTTCTCTACATAAATATTTGAACTATAAATTAATAACACTTCTATTTATTTTTATTAATGATTGAGGAAACTTTTAAGGGATCCAGATTCTCTTCAAGTCTTTTGAATTCTTAGGAAGTAAACTTAATGATAAACCTTGACATTCCAGTGTTTTCCATATTCCGAAAGATTTATTAGAAAAAGACCATCAAATTAAGCAATTCTGTTGTGTTCTGTTTCCCTCTTTAAAGCCTGAATTTCTCACTCATCCCTTACATAAATTATTTCATATCTATCAAACTTAATAAACTTCGAGTCATTATCTTCTCCTGTGCAGATCTAAGATATAGATAAGCGAGAAAGATTTTGTTGTTAGAGGTAGGGACAGTCTTTGTAAGGAAATAGGAATAAAACAAATCTCTTTTCCAATTTTATTGGCTTGAAATTTGAATATAGAATTAATAATTTCTCCAAATATTTATCTACCTTCAAAACTTATTGTCCAAAACAAAAGGAAGATTTTAAGAAAATTTTATTCTGTAGTGATAATGTTTTCAATTCAAATAAAAGTCTAATAGTCATTTATGCAAATTATCTTATAACTATTCTCAAAAAAGGATGAATAATTATTGAGAAAGTAATTTTATGTTCTAAATAATTATATTATAAATTATTGAATGACTATTAAAAACAAAGAAGATTTCTACTTCAATATTATTTAATTAATATAAGAGATATTTTGAGAAAAAATGATTCCCGTTATTTATTTTCTTTGCAATCTATCATTTAATCATTTTTTTTATGATTTCTCTTACAATTCCAGGTTTATTAAAGAAGATCAAGTTGAATAATTATCAAACATTCATTATATTTAAATTAATCTTAATATAATTATTCAATATTTCTAAAAAATATTATTCTTAAGATTTTATAAGATTGTTTATTCCAAAACACAGATTTTGATTTTTTTTAATAATTTTGAGTTTAGACATCATTTATTAAGTTTAAATCTTTGAATCTTTTTATTCATCAATTATTTCCTTTAAATTTAAATTTAAATACATTATTTTTTTTAAGTTTTTAAATAAAAATATGGGAATTATTTGTTCAAAAGATTAAAATGTAGTTAAAGAAATTCCATAAATGATTACGTAAAATGTAATTCATATATATATAGATCAGTTGAAGAAAATAGGCTTTAAATTATTAGAAATGACTAGTTAAGTGTCATTTAAGAATTTTAATGTGCTATATGGAGAAACCTTTCACTAAAGTGGAAATAAAAAAAGCTATAAATATCATTGACTCAGAATAATGATATTAAATATGTCTTGAATGGGAAATCTGAATATATGTAAGTTTAAGCAATGAAAAATAGAGATGTATTGAAATTTTAAGCAAGTCCAGAAGTTTTGAAAAAATTAGAAAAGCTTAAATATGTTGAAAAGTGGGGAAATAGCATACCACAATTTAAAAAGGTATAATAGATGACTGTTAATTGGAATTCACAAAAACTTATAGAAATTGGTGGATGCTACAATTAAGATGGATTAAAGTTGGGATTATGGAAAGAATTAAGCTAATATTATTGGACGTATATAATGATTATTTGAAAATATATAGTAAAGCTCAAATTTATGAAGTTGGAGAATATTTCAATAATTTAAGAACAAAAAGATGGGTATTTCTTAATTATAATGAAATAATGTATATCTAAATCTTTAATTATTAAGAGGTGGGGGATATTACAACTCAGATGGTTAAAAGGTTGGTAAATGGAGAGAAATAGATGAATTTTCAAAGTAATTAGCAATTCAATTATTAGATAATCTTATGTAATATGTGTTGGGGAATATAAAAATGGTAAAAAAGTAGGCATATGGGATTTTTGTTTAGAGGAAAATAGATATATATCTTAAATAATGTAATTATGATAATTTTAAACAAATTTAGTGGCTGTGGATAGTATATTGATTAATGTGAGGATGGTACACTAAAAAATGGAAAGTGGTATGAATTGGGGAAGGGATTTTTTTCATATTCCTAAATCTTACTTGAGGGTTTATATAAAATGGGGAAAAAGTATGGTAGATGGAACCTTTTTATTTAGGATACAAAAATGTATATATTTGAATTATACAATAATGCTTTACTTAAATTTAGTGGTGGTGGAAGCTATGATGAAATAAATGGATAATGTGAAGTAAAGAATGGAAGATGGGTAGAGTAATCAGATTGTTATAGTTACTATAAAAAAATGTTATATGCTGGTGAATATAACAATAATAAAAAAATTGGTAGATGGGATATTTTGTTTGATTTTGATTCTAGATATCAGTTTAAATTAGTGTAAGTACTTAAACTTAATCATTTTAGTGGAGGAGGAACATATACTTTATAAGAAGGATTAAGTTCGGTTAAAAATGGAAAATGGATTGAATTAAATGATAGTTTTAGAGAGTAATCACAAGTTACTTATGTTGGAGAATATAATAATAATAATAAAATAGGTAGATGGGATACTTGTTATTCTGATTTTTGGCATACTATTTAAATGTAAATTGAATTAATAATATTTAACAATTTTAGTGGAGGAGGGTATTATTGTGAGAATGATTCCATAAAAATAGGAAGATGGATAGAATAGAGTGATGATTATGGAGAAAAATCTAACGTAACTTATGAAGGAGAATATAATAATAATTAAAAAGAAGGTAAATGGGATATTTAATATTATGATGAGTTTCTAAAGAAAAAAATAAAGATGTAATTATTCAGAAGTTAATCATAGTTTTGGAGGATGTTATAAGTATGCTAAAGGGCTTGGTACAATCAAAAGTGGGATGTGGGTTGAAATACGTATGAATCTCAGTTTTTAAAAATTCTTTATTTTTCAAGGTGAATATCATAATAATTTAAAAATTGGTTAATGGAAAAAATTATAAAAATATGATCGTATCTTTTAAATCTGGTATTATAATATAACAATAAGTATCTTAGTGAAAATTTAAACTTTGATTAACAAGGAAAGTTAATATACTAGTCTGGAAAGTATTTTCATTCATTTATTATTAATAGAAATTCTTAAATTATGTTTGCAGGAGAGTTTAAGAATGGAAAAAAAGTAGGTAGATGGGATTCTTTTTATAAATTATTTATACATAATCCTTATAAATTAATGTAAAAATAATATCTTTATTATGTTAGAGGTGGAGGATAATACTAAGAGGTTAATAATGGTGATTCTATTAAAATTGGAAAATGGATTGAGTTGAGCGATGGATTTTATGGTCAGTCACAGGTCATTTATAATGGAGAATATAAGAATGGAAATAAAGTTGGTGAATGGGATATTACATATAGGAGGAAAGAGAATAATAGTTTTTTATACATGTAAGTGAATTAAATTGATAATTAAGTGGTGGTGGAAAATATTTGTATGATGAAAAAGTGGGTTCAATTAAAATTGGAAAATGGAGAGAATTGAGTGAAAGATTTTATAGTGGATCTTAAGTGATTTATGATGGAAATTACATAAACGGCTAAAAATTTGGTAGATGGAATCTGAGGTATAGAAAGGATGGATTAGATAACTTTGACATAATGTATTCAAAAATTCAACTAAATTTAGTGGAGGTGGATTATATGATATAAATAAAGAATTAGGTTCAATTAAAATTGGAAGTTGGATTGAAGTGAATGATGGATTTTATAGTGAGGCACAATTTACTTATAATGGTTAATATTTAGATAACAAAAAATTTGGTAGATGGGATATTATGTATTGGTAGGATGGGTTTTAATTCGAAAAGATGTAAATAAAAATTAAAGAATTTTAGTGGTGGAGGGTCTTATTCTATAATATAAAGCTTAGATTCGGTTAAAACTGGAAAGTGGATTGAGTTGAGTGATGGTTTTTTCAGCAAATCTTAAATCATTTTTTAGGGAGAGTACATGAACGGTTAAAAGTATGGCAAATGGGATATTTTGTTCAGGCAGAAAATCAGTGAACCATTTAAGTAAATGTAAGCAAATGAAATACTTATATTTAGTGGTGGAGGTTCATATGATTTTGAAGAAAAGTTAGGTTCAATAAAGAATGGAAGATGGGTTGAGTAAACTGATGATTATGGTTATGGAATAGGATTATTTGAAGCCTTTCATATCGGTGAATATAAATAAGGGAAAAAAGTAGGAATATGGGTGGAATTGAGAAAATTAAAAGATAGAATGGAAGAAGGTTTTAAACAAACAAATGAAGTTAATTATAATAATTGAAAAAATATTAATAAATAATTTTACTTTTGTTGTTTACTTGTGTTCTCTGTTATTGCAGTTGGAATTTATTTATGGAATTGAGATGATGATTTTTATTTCATTATTGTGAGTGTGTTTATTTCATTTTAATCTAGAAATCTTTATTTAGGTAATTAATTTTGCCACAAATTATTCTTTAATGAGGGAAAGATGACTATTGAGGATATGTTTGAATGAACGTCTTTTTTTTATAATTTGGACATAAAGTCCAATCAAATTAAAACAATATTAAGAAATTGCATATTTGATATCTAAATTTGTGTATTCTTGAGTGAAAAAAAAAAAATTCTTTTGTGCTATAATAACAGAGAAATAAATGAATATTATGAGCTATTAATCTACAACCTTTACTTTTTTTTTACTCCTAATTCAAACTGTATAAAAAGTTCAACATTTGTAAGCCCATGATCCTTTATTAAATCAAAAATTGGAGTAAATCGACTAATTAGATGCTCCGTTGTTCTAATTTTAAACCTATAGAGCTACTAGATCGCAGAATCTGACTTTAACTCATATTATGAGATACAGCTTTATTTAATTATTTCATAAAAAAAATTTCCAATATTTTTCTAAGACTGTTATTTATATAAACCCTTGTTGATACCATGATTGATCCGGAAGAATCAAAAACTATTGCATTGCATCTCTCACTTTATCTAACAGATTAATCAATTAACTTTACTTTAATTTGATTTCACTTTTTTGTGACTAAATTGAACAACTGATGTTATTAAATTTTTATTTTATTTCTTTGAAATTAACTTTAACTTTATCTTTATTCTTATTTTATAGTTTAGTCATCCAAGATCTATTAAGAATGTTAAATTAGAATCATTAATATTATTTTAATAACGCCATCATTTTATCATATAAACTGTATTATTTTATTTTATTATATAGGCCTTTATTATATAGGCCAATAAATTTTAAGTCCAATCCTCTGCTATTTTAATTAGAGAATCAAATAATTTCATAAATTATGCCTTTAATACTTATATACTTCTAAAACAAAGTGATAACTTCTAAGTTGCTCTTTTATTTCTCAATAATATCTTGAATAATCTAGATTATTGTTTAATTCTATTATCTTTACGTCTGATTCAAAGTTTTCCATACATTGATAATTAAAAATAAAATCTTTAGGAACAAAAGACCGATATAAGCAATAATCAAGTAAGGTGACTCACTTAAATACATTATCTTGATCATAAAAAGACAAATATTCTTTTTTAATATGAAAATATATCTTTCTTAAAAGAAGAATATCAGTAGATAGGAATAAAGAATCTACTTTAGCAGACTTTTGAGTTTCTGTTTCCTTTAAGTCTACTTAATATACAAATTGGAATAAAAAAATTGATCAAAAGATTAAAAATCAAATCTCAAAAAAGAAAGTTGTATTCTTTAATTTATCAAATGCTTATCACTTAGTTTTTAGAAAACTACTATATGATATAATCCAAAATCAAAATGGCATTAACCAAAAAAAATAACAATATTTTAAAAATACTTTAAAATATGAATCATAATCTAAAATTTATGCTCCTAGATAAAAAAGAAATATCAGATTAAAAATGGAGTCTATCAGTCTATATTTATTTTATATCTATTTAGTTGTAACCTAAAAGAAAGGATATACTATATTTTTAGAAATTTCAAATTCTGTATCATACTGCCAACTTTGCCCTTATCTCTAATAAATGAAATTGTGGTTCCTAAGAAAAATCTTTTTGGATCTATTCTACTTCTGTTGGGTACAATGTAATTTCCTTGTCGAATAGTATTAATTAAAATATAGTTAATTTTATCAAATATAGCTAGAAGACAATAATCAGCATTTTATTAAAAATACTATAGAAAAGAATACTGAAGGTCTTTAGATAAATATTATTTGGGAATCATAATACTCCTGAATATAAATTAGGTTTGGCTAAAAATTTAGAAGAGTAAGTGGTGAAGAAGTAAATACAGTAATATATATGATTTTTAATTTAATGTGACAGATTTGATTTCTAAAAATTCTAATTTTACTTTAAAAATAAAGTAATTATTTTAATTTTTTAAAATTAGTTATTTAAAAGGAATTAAAGTACTCAAATACCGAAAAATTTAACATCAGTCCTAAGTTATTAAATGATTGAACATAAAACGTTAGTTTCAAAGAGTAAATTATTTTGCCGTTCTTTAAAAATACAATGGCAAAAAATAATGCCAATATTTAGAATATTTGATTACTTATATCATAAGGTTAAGAATCAATAGTTATATAGCATTCCATCAATTATTTTAATAGAGTCAAGTTTCATTCTCATCTTGAAGCATAATCATTATAAATGGATGTTTAAAATCAAATATAATAAATTTGTTATTTCAAAAAATCACTACAACTTAAGATATTTGCTCTTTTTACTGTGGAAACAACCAAAAAATTACTAGAGAAATCTAATTATTTATAAACCCTAAGTTATTATGAATCAATATTATTTAATAGATTTTAAACTTGGATCAATCTAATCATTTTTAAGGGATTGAATTTTTTAATATATTTATTATATAATCAAATACAAAAATTTAACCATTTAAAATGTTCACCATCGGATAAAATTATTTAAGTTTTTCTAAAAAATTAAGTATGCTACAAGATTCAAATTAAAAAAGTCAATTTTAGGTTATTTCTTAAAATTATTATATTTTAAATTTATTATAATTGTAAATCCAATTTTATAATTATTATTATTTATAAATAATTGTTTTGCTTTAGCAAAAATTTTGAATTATTTACTGTTCATAATTTTTAATTTCATAGATTCCCTTATAAAATTATGATTAAGAATATAATTACTGGCTTTATTTGTTATTCTAAACTAATTGATTCTTAACTTTCAAATATAAGAAATATCTTTTTGATATTATTTTAAGATTTAAATTGTATTCAATTTGGTTTATTTAAACTTATATTGTTCCAATATAAACCCATATCTAATGCTTTACAATTTGAAATCAAACAAAATCATCAATAAAATTGATTGTAACTTCTAAATCTTCTCCATTTCAATTATTATTATTTATGTAATATTATAAATAAATTTTGATTTAAAAATGATATAAGTACATTTGAGTGAGTATAAAGTTGCTTTTCAACTGTTCTAGATATTTCATTGATGAAATGCTTTGATTTTGTTTTTTCTGGAATAAAGTATGAGAAATATAAGCCATTAATTAAACAATACCTTTGGGCCTTATCATTATTAATACCTCTAAACCTTATTGTGAAATTTTGTAATTTTGTAGCCCTAATTAGACATTTCGAACTAAATCTTTCTTTATTAAGTGAGTTTAACCAAAATTTTTGAATTATAAATTTATAATATATAAATTCTTCGAACTCAAAAGAATCAATTTTTATCTTGACTAGTAATCTTCATTATTTAATCCTTTAAGATACTAAGTTATAATTTACAAATTTCACTATATCAATTTAGTGTTTTTCTTATATCTAAAATACTCAGAATTCATTAACATAATTATGATATCCCATCTATTCACATATCATCTTTAAATATTATTTTATATCTCCTCTAGTTCTTGATTCTGATATGTCAATAAAAATAATATAATAAATCTATCAAATTCACTAAATAATACTTTCTATGAAATTAAAACTCAAATAATTATTTTAATGACTATTACTTCTAAACAAGTATTAATTCATTTCAATATATCAAATACAATAAATAATTAAACTGAAATTATTATTAGAAATAATCAAAAAACTGATTATTATATTTATAAAGACTTGCTTTATGTATGTATTTAAAATGATAAAGAATTAATTTATTCGTTTAGTTATATGCCAATTATATTTTGATAAGTTAGATGAAAATATAATGTATAAATTCTAAAGTGATTAGTGAAGAAACGAAAGAGGCATTATTTGTAATAGCTTGGTCGTTTACTTAATAAAAAGAGAAAAAAAATTAATGTATTTTAAATTAATTCGATAGTTACTTAGTTTACATATTTTTTTTTTCACAAATTTTTTATGTGATATTATTTATTATTAGCATCAAATTTGTTATTTATGGATACAAGATAAGCACTTTTGAATAAAATTAATGAAGTAAAACATAAAACTAAATAGATTAAAGTTAAAAGAAAATTAAATTTAAATTTGAAATTGAATATTGAATAAATATATTAACAAAATTCTAATAAGATTATTATATATAAGTATTTAAAGATGATAATTAAAATAGCTTCAATTAAAATATATATCATAAAAATTGATCTAATAAATGTTTACATTGAAAATAAGTTTAACTTATTTAACCTTCAATCATACTTTCTCTATCATTTTTATTATAATAGTATTATTATTCTTGATCTTCAATGATCTACAGATGAACTTGTTCTTTCGAAAAATTATTTTCCTAACAATTGGTTAATTTTTGAGAAATCTATAATTGCAAGTTTTTTTTAATCAAATTTTAAATATTTCCTTAATGAAATAGATTATAAACATGTAAAATTTACACCTTAATTTCATTATTATACAATTACAACTAACTTTATTTCTTAAAAACTTTCCTTTCTAGAATTTTCTTCATTAATGAGAATGCCTTTTATATGCTTAAAACGATACTTATAAATCAAAGTTGTTCAAGTAAAGATAATCCTCAATTCAAAATGATTATTCTTCCATGAAAATACTTAATATTTTTTTTAAAGTGTTTTAAGTCATCATTCTTAAAGAATCAATTAGAATTATTAAGTAAATCTTTAAATCATTTTTATAACTCATAGCATTAGTATTGATTGGCTGTCTCAACTTTAAAGGAACTTGAAAAGTATCCTCCTTAAAATAATTAGTAATGGTCTAAAGATATCATCATATATTAGAAAAAGTTTTGAAAAAAAAACTAGTAGAAAAAATAAATTAATATTTCCCTTATATATCTGAAAGTTAGCGATAAAAGTTTTTTGAGAATAAAGAATTTCAGGGTTAGCTGTTTTGATTAATTTTGCAATAAAATTAATTTAGATGAAACAATCCACTATTTTATTATATATATAATAATTAATAAATAATTTTTACAGATGAAAAAAGGATTAGCTCTTATTATCATTTTTTTCTTCTTAATTTAATATACCGAATAGAATTGCATAACATAATTTAAACAATAACAATCAATATTGAAAGGTAATCACCAAAATGTGCTATAATTATAAAAAGGATCATTGATATCATCAAAAAAAATAAATTTTTTCGAATTTGGGAATAATGCATCTTTTTTAAAAGATATTCCATATACAATTATGACAAATGGAGTAGATTTCACTTATTGTAAATTGGGAAATAATAAATTTTATTATAATTTTTCTAAGAATTCTAATTATTAAATCAATAGTAGTGGTTAATCATTTCTAGTTATTTAATATTTGATTATGTACCCATTTATTCATATAAGTTTAATCCATTTTAAGTACTTTTAAGAGCAGCTTCTATGTGTTATAATAATACTTACTGGTTACCATCTTATTACATAAATGATATTATTTTTATTATATTTTAATTATAAATACTAATATTTAAATTATAAAATACTATTTTAATTTAATTTAATTTAATTTAATTGTAATGTTTTTTATAAAACTCATTAACTCCTAATCAAGAATTCTTTACACTACTAAATATTATTTATTCACTTAATCCTATTCAATATTTATAATAAAAATTTATATTAATTCTTTTTGATATAATCCATAATTTATTATTTATATAAATCTATTAATTGATATTGAAAATAATATTTATTTTACCTTTTTTCTCAATATAAGATATTATAAATGAAGAATTGAATAGATGTTTATTTTTTGTTGTAATTCTTTAATAATAAACAAAAAAAATAGATAAATTTATAATTTACTTCTTATAAATCTATATTTCTGAAAAATTCTATAACATTAATAGTTATTTCTTTATATAATCTTCCTCTGCAAATTCAGCATTAAGTGCATTTTAATAACACTTTATTTGCTTCTTGTTTATTTCCCAAAGCAAGAAAAATAAATTAGATCATACAGCTAAAAAGTATATTATTATTTTATCATAGGCATTGTGTATTAGGATTCAGTTAAATGGCTTTTTAATAACATTCAATTCCTACTTCTATTCTTTATAAATAACATATTAATGTGAATGGTTCAGATTTAATGATTGACCTATAAATACTAAACTATTTATATGACTTTTCCATCTAAATACCTCATGTTTACCTACATTAGCTACATCATAACAATATTTTATTATAAAATAACTACTTAGACATTTCAAAATATTGATTGATTGTTTTAATTTTAAGTATTTTTATGTTGTTAATAATTGCTTCAAATCTTTTAAAAGTTTATAAATTACGATTTAGTCTTTTAATATTTGATTCAATGTAGTTTCTATTTGATAGATTATTACAGTATTTTATCTTAATTGATTAAGTCAAGAATGCCATTAAATCTAATGCAGTCGTCTTGATGATCTGAATTTATTTTCATTAAGCATTTGTAACAACTAACAAACATTTTAACATTTATAATTTATACAAGATCCTATCACGATTTCCATTTCTTGATTTTCATTTTTGCATCTATAGATATTCATTGTAATATTTTAAATAATTATTAGATAAGATAAAATATTTAATTAAATACAAAAAAATTATTAAATTATATATAATTATAAATAGTTTAATCATTAAATGCCATAATTCTTATCATGAATATGAGGAACATCAAATTAATCTAATTACTTAAGTAAATTAAGGGCCATTTAAATTATTCTTTATATTATTAATCAGCTATGTTTTTGAGTTGTTATTCTTAATTTATAAAACAAAGAAATATATATTCTAGTATTCTAAAAAACTATAAATTTTGAAATTTTTTATCATTGCATTACAAGAATTATATTAGGAACATTATTTTTACTTAATAAATGAAAATTTCTTTTTTAATTTTATTGAATTTCCATAAACTAAAGGAGACTTCTTAAATAAAAATACAATTATATACATTATATCATTATTTCTATCTTTTAAATTGTACTGAAATCATGAATTTAAAATAAAATAAAATAAGTAATGATATATGAATATCTGCATTCGTAAAACATCAATATATTAGTAACTGGCTATCCTCATGTTAAAATTATGGTGATTAGAAATTTAATTAGATGATTATAATTTTTAATATTTTTTAAATAAATCAGCTATCTCAATATATTAAATGATTTATAAATTAAATTGAACAACAAATATAATCTTAGAACTCTTAAAGATGGATTTCTTAGAAAATTAATTAAAAAAATTTACAAGTATTCTTGGCTACATTTATTATTAGGTAATATTATCAAATATCTTTTTAAAGGAAGTTCATATGGCATGGCCTTTTGTTAAATATTATTGTGTTTAAATTGTGTTTACATATATGACTTACTCATTATAATAATAATACATATGGATTAGTAAGATAATTTAATTATTTAGTTATGATGAAATTCAAGAAAAGGAGAGAAACAGGTATTTAAGTATTAGCTAATCACAGTATTTTACTAAAGGTATTAACTAAAATTTTTGAAGCTAATGTTTTAATAGTTTAATAGAAAAAGTAACAATATACTAGATGTAGAATTATAAATAATGTATTGATTATTATAATAAAGTTATTAATATTCCAAAGGATCATGCATTTGCTTATTTTAATAAAGGTATTGGATATGCTTATTTAAGGAATCACTTTATCAAAATTATAGAATTTTAAAGATGCCCTTATAAATTATAAAAAAGCTTTAAATATAATTTCATAAAGTGATGAAATATGTTTATATAAAGGTAATTAATTGAACTTAAAATAATAATATGCTTGATTATTAATAAAATTTCAAGTATTATAAAATTAATTGAAACGTTTTGAAGAAGCCATAGAATTTTATGATAGGAAAATAGAAATCAACTTTAATATTGATCAGACATACTATAATAAAGGTAATCTAAATAATAATATTATTGATTAGCTTGAAAGTTATTTAGAAGCTGTAGAATCATGTAATAAAGCAATCAATATTAATTCTAATAATCAAAATTACTATAATAGTCGAGGTTATTATTTTTATGATGAATTTTAGATTAGCATTAATTATATAAAAGATATTTTTCGTTTTACATAATCTTAAATAAGCTATAAAAGCTTATGATTTGGCTCTTCTAATATCAATAAATCATGAAATATTAGAGAAATAAAGGTATTGAATCCTTAAATTTTTAGAAAATGCAATATTTATGATATTCATGAAAATTACTCACTAAATTTAGAGAAGCTTGATAAAGTCTAAGAATTTAGGATCGTTTTGGATTTAAAATAATAATGATAAAATTTAAAATTATTGTAGAATTATATGATTTTTATATTTTCATAAGATCCTTTTAAGACCATTGATAGGAAGTATGAATATGATTAATTTTTGATTATATTTTTAATCTTCGATAAATCTTTTTATGCTTGAATTTCCCATAAATAGAATCATATTCAACTTAATCTAAACAGGGAATGTTTTCCATTGATCTTAAATTCATCTAATCCAAATCAATATTGATACTTTTGAAATGAAATTTATTTGCATGTTTAGTATATATTTTAACATATAATATATTTTGAATTTACACATAAGTTATCTATTTCACTTTCTTTTTAATAAAATCCTATGAACAGAATCTATTAGCCAATAACTAAATACTTTTTTTAAAAGTGGAAATGAATTAGAACTAAGTATTATTTTATGTAACCTAATATAAGTAAGAAAAAAAATAACAGAAGTAATTGCTATTATTCGAAAGGATACTAACTTTCTTTGAGTTGTACTTTAAGTGAACTAAAAAACTCTTTATTGTTTTTACAAATAGACGATATTCATTCTTATATATTATTTACTATATCAGCTAATTAAATGAAAGAAAAGCAAAGCAATTTTTTTTTGTTTCTCATTAATATTTTAACTTCGCTTAAACATTAATAACAAAAGTAATTAGATCTTGATATGTCCTATGAAATAATTTGACCCTTTGACTTACAGTTTTTCTTACCTAGTTATTCATTGAAAGTATGAAAAAAATAATTAGAGAATATATTATTATCAAAAAATTTTACTATTGATTGTAATCAAATGATTCCTATCAAGAAATAATATAACAAAGTAGGATATTTACCATTCTTGTTTAATTAATGTTTGTAAGTCACAGAATAAGAAATGAAAATTTTAGTATAATAATACTAATTAAGTGCTGCACTTAAATACTTTTGTTAAGATTTATGATGAAATAAAATATTCTAAAAATACAATAATAATTTGAATTCTATTTAACAATATTAATAAGTTAATTAATTCTCATCCAAATTATCAATCATTACTATCTTAGTTATTATAAGCAATATTTAAATAACTAATTAATTATGCTTGAAATCTTCTTAGAGACAGGATTCAAAATAATTATGAATCTATTTTACCTTATTGTTTTTATAATAAAGCCATAAGTTTTGTTTGACCTTTTAAAAAACTCATAAAAATTTCAACCAAAATTTGAAAAGTGAAAGATGACAATATTATCAATTCTGGAACCGGAGTAATAATAGTTGTATTATCCCAAATATTATTAAATAGATTTATTTCCTTTACAATTGATTGTAAGTTAGCTTGAAATCAAAAAAAGGTATTTCCAATTAAGTTTATTATTATTTAATTTTTTAGATTTTATTAAAGCCTTAAAATTTATTTATTCATCAAGTCTTCTTATAAGTGTGTTACAGCGTAATTTGAACAAGAGTCTTAAGTTGTCCATGAAATTCATTTAATTTAGAAATCAATTATTAAGTTTGAGAAAACTTAATTAGATTATAATGTTAAAATATTATTTGAAAATGCTTATCACAATTCACTTTTTTTTTAATTTTACTGATTTCCCTTTTTTAGTATCAATTTCTTAGTAAAGTTCAAAGTTTTTCAATTAGATTAAATTACCTATCCTATTTTATTGTCAAATTACTTCTCTATAATAATATGAAGCATTTCGATCAACTAAATCAAATAGAAACATAAATAAATCAAAGTCAGCCTAAAATTTTAATTATTTTTATTTATGTGTATATTATTTTATTTCAATTATCATATTAAATGTGGAATTATTAAATTAAAATAATAACAACAAAAAAATAAATATATTGAAGGAATACCAATTATTGACCAATATACATACCTCGGAATAATTATAAACAGATAAGGGAATTTGAAGAATCATTTAATAAAATTGAAATAAAGAATTAATTACTTAGTCAAAGATTTAAAATGGATAACCTAATTTATGGGTTGTAAAGAAAGAATAAATATATTGAATATATTTATCAGACCTCATTTCTAATATATGTTGGCTGCATTAAATTGTAATTAAGTAAACGTTCATTAAAAGCAAATTAACTAATTATATTAAGGATCGTTGAAATTATTAATGAGAGTTTCGGAAACTACTTCAGATTAACTTTTAAATCTTCTTGTTAAACCTTTTGTAGTATTAAATAATGAAGAGATAGCGTAAATAAAGAGAAAGATTCAAGATAGATATAATTTATGGTAAGAATGTAATATATCAAATCAAATGGTAAACAACAGTAAATTTAAAATAAAATTAAGTAATATGCCAAAAAATTATGAATAACTATTAAATAAAGAAGGATATAATTGTAAATAACATCAATAAAGATCAACATATAAACACTTAGTAAATAGTCATTTGAAATAGAATTTAAATACATTTAATAAAAAGATTAGTAATAGGATGAAAAGTAAAAAATGGTGCAAGCGTGTAGAATATCGAATAGAAGAAGTAAATAACTACAATTTATATGAAAAGATAATATGATTTAAATAATTTATGTTTTCTCTTCTCCCTAGCAGGGTTGAATAATAATAATAATAATAATTATCATATTTAATCTCATAAATTATATGAATGATTCCTTTATACTCATATTGTCGCTTTTCATTTCAACCCATAAACCAACTTTTTTTCCATTTTATATTCACCATTAAAAATTACTTCTGAATTCAATCTAAAATTATCCATTATTTTGTTAGGGGATCGAAGGAGACAGCTCCTTGGATGACCCTAATTATGACATCATCAGAAATAAAAGTTAATTAAATTTTATTAGAAAATTTAGAAAGCATTAATTCTAAATATTTATTAAAATATTGAATTTGATTTTAACAAAAAGTATACTTATAATTCATGTTTATAGGCTTGATCTGAATCAAAAATATCTGATTGAACTAAATAATGTTAGAGTAATTTATTTGTTATTCTTAAATTTTTCATTAAATAATTAAAATTATTGTTCTTGTAGAAGCTCTTTATACAAAAATACTATCGTTCAACTACTTATTGCAAAGATCCAAATGTAAAAACTGGAATTTTAGAAATAAATGCTAAGGGTTAACAGTAAATGATTGTAATAGCTGATCTACAAAATAATCATATTGTAATTCAGCATAAAAGATGTGAAGATTTTGTGGCTAGTTCTGGTAAATGTTTAGATACATGTACTAAAAATTTTTAGAATAATTTTTTGTGTACTAAAAATTTTTAGAATAATTTTTTTGTGGAGGGATTCAATTTAGCAATTGTAATAATTCTAAATATTGTTTAAATGCTTTAACTATTAATGAATAATGCTATGAAATATTATCAACGAAAAAAATGTTTGAGTTTTTTTTGACTGAGGCGAAACATATTTTGGATAGCTTGTTCATTGATAGGAAATATTTCTAATTAAAAAAAAACAATAATTTTTTCAATATTCAATCTTTTCCAGCCATTTTTTCAGATAATTAAGCATTGAAAGGCAGTATTTTTCATTGTTCTATTCATTGATTTCATTAAAAAACTAGTGTATGAGGTAGTGCACATTTGGTGATTAAAAGATTCTATTTTTTATAAGAAATCTCTTTAAGTTATTCCAAACTTTTTCAATCGGATTTAGTTAAGGAGTGTATGGTGGCAAAAATAAATATTAAACTGCACTCAAAATTTTCATAACGAGTTTACTTTTATGCACATGACTATTATCAAGAATCAACACAAACTCTAATTCTTTATAATGATGTTTTAATGCTCTTATTAGCTGCTAAAGATGAAAACAATAAATTTATGAATTCACATTACCTAACACCACTTGATATGCAATGAAATTTTTCGTACCTATCGCCCCAAAATCCCAATACTTCCTTTTTCTGATTGACATATTGAAAACTCTTGTTATCTTCTTAATTGCCAGCATTTTTATTATGATTTCATTTAATGCCCCAATGCTGTATGGCTCAAAAGCAATTATAATAATTAATATTCATTCATTAATTACAATTTTAATATTATATATCATTGTTTTTACTATTTTTTTAAAATAGGTGCATCTTATATTGATTACTATGGCTAAATGATTTCCTAAATTTTATATGGAAGTGCCCTAATTCCTTATTCAATTCTTTCTGACTCTTCTTTCTTTCTAATAAGTCTAGTTTTCACATTATTTAATTTTTATTTGGCTATTTTCACTTTCTTTTCTTCCACCTGCTTATGAGTTCTTTTAAAGAACTTCATAGATTTTTTTCTTCCTAAAGTATTATCCAAAGATTTTAATAAACTTTTATTAGCTCATATATTACACTACATCATCTTTTGTCAAGCCAACTACTTTGTCTGCATCTTAGTAGTGATCGAAAATTGGGCTCTATTCATTTAGTGTAAATAGAACATTTGTAAGCCATTTTTTATCAGGTAATTTCAGTATTGTGAATCCAAAGTTAATGTTTTTCTTTAGACATATGGCTTCTAATTCATAAAATAGTTTAATTTTAGAAACTTTTTTGAATAATTAACCTATTTTCACTTAATCTTTTTCTATCCTAAAGCACCTTCCCAAAGCAAAACTCAAAAGATATATCACATGTTATAACTTATGATGCCAAATCGGGCATATAGTAATTCTTTAAGACCAATGCTGCATGCATAGATTAAACTCCTCCTACTAACTGATTTGCTTCTTAAAAGTAATTGCCTAAAAATAATTAAAATCAATAAGAACCATTATGCAAAAAAAAATTTTGTAAATTTATTCAATTATAATGGTCTAATTTACCATTGTTTTATAATTTTATGGAAAATATCAAATTTGTTTTTTTGATTCAAAAAAGGAAATTTAGTTTTCAAGAAAAATCGAGTTTATTGTGTTTATCATAAGTGACGTGTCTGATCATTAATGATTTTTATTTTGAATTATTTTTTTGTTTTTTGAATATAAAAAATAATAATTATTCTGCAAAAAGATTAATACATTTGCACTTGCTTCCATATTGTTTCATTTCTTCCCTGATAATTAAACTGTGAATCCTCTGAAGATTAATATATGTAACAAAATAATAATAAGAACCTAGCGGAAGTTCAGAGTAAAAAGATGAAATAGCTGAAAATCTAATAATTAAATTAAAGACATTCACAATGTTCTATCCAATGTCAATTATTTGAATTGTTTGAAAAATCCCATATTAGGCTATTTTTTCAAGAGAAAGAATAAATTTAAAATCAGTATATTGAGGAATGTGAAAAAGATTTGAGAAATTTATACAAAAGCAAAAATTTATTGATTTAAAAGAGAAAATGCTGGAGATTAAAAATAAAGAATGAGTATATAAAAAAGAATGCAAGTATGAGTTAGTCACAAAATAAAGGGCAGCAGTTAGAAGTTTAAGATTAAATGATTACTCTACTGATGCTATAGCTGCATCTACAGGATTGACTCCAAGATAAGTCCGACATATTGAGTTGAACTAAAATTTATAATAAGATTGTAAGAATTACTTCAATCTCAATACAATTCATGTAAACTGGATTAAAAATTATATAAGAAGCCATACATCAAAAAAACTTTAGAAATCAATCGATATATTCCACACCTTTATTTAAGAATTTCAATTAGCTCCTCAAGCAAGAATTTTAAGAAGTTTTTAGTTAATTTTAAAGAAATAATGTTCTGCGTCTTATCGACTACCCTATAAAAAAGATATTAAGAGCTCTAATGAAACAAGTATAGAATTACGATTTAGCTACTCCAGCAAATTTTTTAATTTTAGTATTAGGAAGGAAGTATTTTTTAAAGTAAATAAATTTAATAATATTAGAAGTATTTTATAAAGTAGTTTATTTAAATTTAAANTTAATTTTAGAAACTTTTTTGAATAATTAACCTATTTTCACTTAATCTTTTTCTATCCTAAAGCACCTTCCCAAAGCAAAACTCAAAAGATATATCACATGTTATAACTTATGATGCCAAATCGGGCATATAGTAATTCTTTAAGACCAATGCTGCATGCATAGATTAAACTCCTCCTACTAACTGATTTGCTTCTTAAAAGTAATTGCCTAAAAATAATTAAAATCAATAAGAACCATTATGCAAAAAAAAATTTTGTAAATTTATTCAATTATAATGGTCTAATTTACCATTGTTTTATAATTTTATGGAAAATATCAAATTTGTTTTTTTGATTCAAAAAAGGAAATTTAGTTTTCAAGAAAAATCGAGTTTATTGTGTTTATCATAAGTGACGTGTCTGATCATTAATGATTTTTATTTTGAATTATTTTTTTGTTTTTTGAATATAAAAAATAATAATTATTCTGCAAAAAGATTAATACATTTGCACTTGCTTCCATATTGTTTCATTTCTTCCCTGATAATTAAACTGTGAATCCTCTGAAGATTAATATATGTAACAAAATAATAATAAGAACCTAGCGGAAGTTCAGAGTAAAAAGATGAAATAGCTGAAAATCTAATAATTAAATTAAAGACATTCACAATGTTCTATCCAATGTCAATTATTTGAATTGTTTGAAAAATCCCATATTAGGCTATTTTTTCAAGAGAAAGAATAAATTTAAAATCAGTATATTGAGGAATGTGAAAAAGATTTGAGAAATTTATACAAAAGCAAAAATTTATTGATTTAAAAGAGAAAATGCTGGAGATTAAAAATAAAGAATGAGTATATAAAAAAGAATGCAAGTATGAGTTAGTCACAAAATAAAGGGCAGCAGTTAGAAGTTTAAGATTAAATGATTACTCTACTGATGCTATAGCTGCATCTACAGGATTGACTCCAAGATAAGTCCGACATATTGAGTTGAACTAAAATTTATAATAAGATTGTAAGAATTACTTCAATCTCAATACAATTCATGTAAACTGGATTAAAAATTATATAAGAAGCCATACATCAAAAAAACTTTAGAAATCAATCGATATATTCCACACCTTTATTTAAGAATTTCAATTAGCTCCTCAAGCAAGAATTTTAAGAAGTTTTTAGTTAATTTTAAAGAAATAATGTTCTGCGTCTTATCGACTACCCTATAAAAAAGATATTAAGAGCTCTAATGAAACAAGTATAGAATTACGATTTAGCTACTCCAGCAAATTTTTTAATTTTAGTATTAGGAAGGAAGTATTTTTTAAAGTAAATAAATTTAATAATATTAGAAGTATTTTATAAAGTAGTTTATTTAAATTTAAACTGAAGTATTTTTTAAAAATAAATAAATATAATAATAATATATCAATTTTATAAAGTAGTTTATTTTAATCTAAACTGAAGTATTTTTAAAAGTAAATAAATTTAATAATAATATAAGTATTTTATAAAATAGTTTATTTTAATCTAAACTGAAGTATTTTTAAAATAAATATCTTTAATACAAATATAAGAATTTTATAAAGTCGCTTATTTTAATCTAAACTGAAGTATTTCTAAAAGTAAATAAATTTAATAATATTAGAAGTATTTTATAAAGTAGTTTATGTTAATCTAAACTTAAGTATTTAAAAAAATATATAAGTTTATTAATAATATAAGTATTTTAAAAAGTAGTTTATTTTAATATAAACTGAAGTATTTCTAAAAGTAAATACATTTAAGCTAATATAAGTATTTTATAAAATAGTTTATTTTAATCTAAACTGAAGTATTTCAAAAAGTAAATACATTTAATAATTCATTTAGCAATTTCAATACTTTCTCAAAATATTTTATAAATAAGGAAAATTGAACTAAATCTCTTAAGCCATAAAAATTATTAAATAGCATTAACATTAAACCATCCTTCTTAAAATTTTATTTCTCAAAGAATGAGCAAACTTAGAACATTACGATGACTATAAGCTGAAAAGCAATTAGATGAAGAATAGAAAACTCTTTCCTAATTTTTACCTTAGAATCATCTAATATCAATAAAAGTTAGTGATATATCTCATATTTTTAACTGTACCCAACTAATTATATAGTTTTCTTCATAAATTATATTCATTAACATCTTATCATTTATTTCTTTGTTATTGAAAAGATTTACTTCTATCTAACAATGTTAATTATATTTCTTTTCATGCATGGATTAACTTCTTGATTCTTTTATTTCTAAAATTACTGAATAGAAACCTCCAAAATCAATTTCATTCATAGTTCTAATTTATTAAATTAAGTGCTTTCTTAAAAAAAAATGAATTTGAAAAGAATATATTTTAAGATTGTTCATTTTTGAGAAATTTTTCTATTTATAATTTTAAGAATTAGCAATTTCGACACTGATCCAATAGATATTATTAATAATGAAGACCTGATCACTAAAATTAAGTAATTATATATAATTTACATTATTAAAATTAAAATAGTTATTCTATAATATTATATAATGATTTCTCAATAGCATATTTCACGTCTATTAAAATCAATTCCAAATCTCTACAGTTTGAACTTTTATTTAACAAAAATACATAAGACACTCTTGTTGAATCGCAGTTTACAACTTAAAATTAGAGGAAAAATAATTTAATTATTTATTTAAAAAAATATGAGTGATTAAAAAGAGCAAAATGAGAATACTGATTAAGGTAATTAAAACTTGAAAATAAATTCAGAAACAAAAAAAAATAAAATCGTAATTTTAATAAATATGATTATAATGAAGAAATTTACTGAGAAGAACAATAAAAAATAATATAAAAAATACATAAGATTAGAGGTTCATTCCATTTAAAAATATTTTACTCCTTCTGACAGCCATATTTAATACTTTAATTTAATGAGGATCAAATTCGTTAAATTTATTAATTAAGTTGAAGGTAAAGCTTAGAAACTAAATTTTTTCAAACTTTAGAATTAAGAATAATTCCTTGATGAGAGCAAATTTTGTTAAATGCAACTTAAGAGGATCCTAATTTGAGTATGAATTTGAATGGAACTGTATTTTTTAATTGTAAATGGAAAAATTTGAAAATAAAGGAAGAGAACAAGCTAGACGAATATATGCATAACAATAACAATAAAAATTGGTCCTATTTTTTATTCTTCTTTAATTAGTCCAGTATTGATATGAACCCTAAAATATTGCTTAATTAATTAGCTTAAAATTTAAGGAGATAAGTGAAAATATCTTTAATGGAGATTTAATTCCATAAATTTTTATTTTGTAATAAAGCTTCGCTTCAAACTACTTAAAATTTTTTATGATAATTTAAAGGGCATTAAATTTATATCATATATTACGTGAGAAATTAACAGTCTCGTTATGAATATCTTGTTTAAATATTACAAAATTATTGTTATTCTAATGTTCTTGATAATAATCAAATTCATTGTTGCTATATAATTTCCAAAAATCTACTTCCTTTAGATTTAAATAATTCTCTTAAATCTTTCCTCTAATAATTTATAAATTCACCTTACAAGATATTCGCTCCTTATGCTTCCAATATTATTTATTAGGATACAACAAGAATTGAATAATTAGAGACTAAATCATAATGAAAAAATTAATACCCAAAAAGTGATTATTTTTCAATAGTGAGGTTGTAAATTATGCAAGATTATCTTTATAATTTGTATTTGTGGTTTAAATTTATTTTCCTGTCTTTACATCCCATAGACGAATAGAGTAATCATTACTACCAGAAACTAATGTATTTCCATCAGAAGAGAAACAGACTGAATAGACAGTGCTAGTATGACCATCTAATTAGGCTTTTTATAATCC